GTCTCACCGTCTGTTTCGCTACCGTTGTGACTGCGGGGGAATATTGAGTATCGTGACTATTAGGAAGTATAGGATTTATCCCAACCTTGTCTTGTACTCCAAGCAGGTCATGTACTCACTATATATACGCCCACGGGGCTCAAGCAATACAACAACGATTTCCACCAAACCCCTCTCTCCCTTCTAACATTGATCCATACATGATTAACTGCATCACACACGAAAGAAGCGTCCCTGCATGAGTGTACATTGATTTCTTCTTCTGAAACAAAAGAACAGACAATCATGTTCATTGTATTTGCACTTGCAATGGGCGATGTAGAGGAGCAGACGTGGGACGAGGTCGTCCTGGGGAATGAGACGGCGGTGCTGGTTGAGTTCTGGGCGCCATGGTGCATCCCGTGCCGCTTGATGCACCCCATCATCGCAGACCTGGCCAAGGCCTATGTTGGGAAACTGAGATGTCTGAGGGTAAACACGGTCCAGAACCAGAACCAGGAGGTGGCCATGAGATATGGCATCAGGAGCATCCCCACCATCCTCATCTTCAAGGATGGCGAGAGGAAGGAGACGGTCATCCACACCATTGCAAACACGGCCATGGCCACCACAGTCGACAGGTTTTTTTAAGCATACAGTAACAATTCCAATTCTTTGTTCTTCCATGCCCGAGAGCTCGGGAGTAGAAGGGTACTTTTGGCCCGGGATGCGAAGTATCTACACCCGAGCTCAAATGCACATTGATGACCAGTAAAAAAATAGTAAACAAAAATTTTATCATAAAAAGTTATTCCTGAAAGTCGTGGTAAAAAACAAAATCAATACTCAAAAAATGCAATTTTTTAAGCATTTTGGAGCGTTTATTTTTTTGTCATGTCTTCCACAAATGTTATTTCAGGCTGAAAATTTCCATGCGCTGACAACATTTGTGAAAGTTTGCACCCAATTTTTTTCTGATTTTTTCTTTTTTTTGATTTATTTCGGAATTTACTGTTCACTCCAAGCTCAATGACATTTAGTGATTTGTTGACTAATGCGCAGTTCAAACAAATCCTTCTTCAAAAACCCTGTAAAAAAAACTTTGAAAAAACAGGGCCTCTTTTTTGAAAGTTTTTTTACAGGGTTATTGAAGAAGGATTTGTTTGAGTTTTTTCAAAGTTTTTTCTACAGAGTTTTTGAAGAAGGACTTGTTTGAACTGCATTAGTCAACATTTCCTAGATAGTTAACTCAATTACGATGAATTAATTAACTAGAATCCAACAAATCACTAAGGCCTCCTTTCGATCATAGGAATTTTGTAGGAATTGTAAAGGATTGGAACTTTGTAGGAAAAACTCCTTTGAAGCCTTTTGGTTTGTAGGAATGGATTCCTATTTTTATGTAGACTAGAAATCAATCCTTCACATTTTAGTGCATCTAATGACGTGTTCTTTTCTATATGGATTGAGACGCGTGTCATCGATCTCATTTCCTATGACTTTCCTATTCCTATCATATAAACCACAGGAGGCCTAAAGATTTGTTATGTAAATGCCTACTACCGATGTTAGGCGAGCAGCGAGCAAGTTATGACATATATGGTTGTTCTTTTACATGGTGCTCCTCCGCTCTATTCTCTTTGGAGGTTAATACACTATGCTTGACCTTTTAAAAATATAAGATTTTTTAAGACAGACTTTGACAAAACAGCACACTACTAATATGTGATCTATACGATAAATCACCGTATCCATAGAGTAAATACTTCTCTTGAAATAAGAATCTAGTGACAACGATTCCATGGCACATAACCTCGTGCCAGCAATGAAATTAGTAGTAATGGTCTTGCCTTAAACGAACAAAATACACCATAAATTTTGAAACGGAGGGGGGGTACATGATTTGGCTACAAAATAAATATAGATATTTTTCCCTTTTTCTAACAAAAATAAAAGAGAAAAGGAGGCTGTTTTCCTCCAGCAGAAACGGAAAGTAGGCAGCCCCGAGAGAAACCCCAAATTCTCAGACCCACCACGATGGCATCGCCGGCGCCGCCCGGCAGCCCCGATGGCGACGCCCCGGCCCCGCCGGCGCCGGCCATGGAGTCGCAGGCGGACCTACCGGACCACGTCGTCGAGGATATCCTCCTCCGCCTCCCCACGGCCGAAGACGTCGACCGCGCATCCATGGCCGGCGCCTCCTTCCGCCGCATCATCGCCGCCCGCTCCTTCCTCCGCCGCTTCCGCGCCCTCCACCGCCCGTCTCTCCTGGGAATACTCGCGTACGAACCGTCCCAAAGGGCCGACCTCTCCGTCGCCTTCCTCCCGGCCCAGCCGCCGCCCGCACCATCGCCAAGGCCGACTTCTCCTGCTCCTTCCTCCCCTCCCCGGAGCTCTGGAGCAACTGTGACTTCCGCGACGGCCGCGCCCTCCTCTCCAAGCAGGGGGATTTCCTGGCCAACCTCGCCGTATGCGACCCACTGCACCGGCGCTACCTCCTGCTACCAGCCCTCCCCGACGACCTAGCTGCTCTAGCCAAGCAGCTGGATGTCATGGATTGTGACCCCTTCCTTGCCCCTGCCGGCGAGAGTGAGGGCACCATTTGTCGACGCACCCTCGGGCTTCAGAGTCATGTGCTTGCGCAGGTGGTGCTACAAAAAGCTGGTCCTCTTCATGTATTCTTCCTCGGGTGCCCGTGCCGGCCAATGGCGCACTGTTACATTTCATGGTTGGGGCGCCTTGATGCCAGGACACGTCGGTGTGGGTTGCTTCACGGCCAATGACGCGGCGCCACGTCTCGCCATTATGCTCATGGATGCTTCTATTGGGAGATGGCTTGTACCCACAAGTATCTTGTGTTCGACACGCACACGGAAGAGTTCTCTACTCTGAATGTGCCACGCGGTCGTGATGAGATAGTCTTTGTGGAGGCAAGGGAAGGAAGGCTTGGCATGCTTAGTCGCGGCTTTAAAGGTTTTGAAAATCGCTATGAAAGTGAGCTCTTGTATGACATTTTGCGAGATAATGGAGATGGCACAAAGCAGTGGCAAAACGAGGCCATTATCCCGGAGCCGCATAATTATCACCATACCTTCATCGGTGTTGCTGGGGGACACTTACTTCTACATGGGAATCTATACGACCCGGAGTCACCTGATACTGAGTCACCTGATAACGACTTCAACTATTATTCAGTAAATCTCCAGACTTTGAAGCTCGAGTGGTTCTGTGGGTCTGCGCCTGTGTTCATCTCCTCGGATACCCATCTGTATGCGGGTTTCCCGCCATCCTTGTCTCCACCAACTATTTGAAGGGGGTAAGCTTGCTCTTATTTATATTTTTCTTGTATTGTCCATGCCATATATAGGATTAACACTGCAATATGATACAAGTATTAGCTAGTATACCATCCAATATGATTAACTTTAAAATAGGATACATGTGTTTCCAATGTCATGCTGACGCAACCTTGTGTTTAATTAACTTGATTAGAGAAGTTTGGAGACACATTTGGTGCACAGGGCAGTGGTTACGTTTGCGTTTTCCTTTGGTATAGCTGTATGTGGGACAAAAAAACTTGGTGATGAACAGTTGTTTCTATTGAAGTATCTGAAACTAGATGTTTTGGTTGCATCTAATTATACAAGAGAGGTTGGTGGCATCTAATTAACGAGAGGTTGGTTTCTCATCTCATCGCACGCTATTATTGCAGGGCTTAATCCGCTGCGTATGGGACTCATTTTGTGTAGACTGGCTGCTGGTTGATCATTGCAAGAAAGAATGACACATGCATCAAGCAATTGTCTCTGTTTGGCTTGTTGACACGAGTCTCGCCTTGGGTCCTTTTGATGGCATACATACATGTCCTCTCCTCAAAGCCCACATGCATGCTACATGTTGGTTGATTTGGCATGTGTGCATCTTGAGCGCGCTCATATATACTAGGTGGGGTCTGCAGACTGCAGTCTCTCTAGCTACTGTTAATTTGCATGTTTTCTTCCATGTAGTCTCTCTTGCTTGTTGCTGTTAGTTGGGCATTTGTAAACCGCTAGCAGTGCCAAGTCCAGTAACTGATGGAGTACCTAGTAGTAGTCGTATGTATGAACACCGTGTTAATCCTTGCATGGTGCGTAAGGGTAAGTGCCCCGCCGTCAACTTGGATGTTTCATTTAACAGTAACACTTGGTAATCTACATGCACTCCCGGATCACATCAGAGTTACTTCAGCTGTGACTATTGTGTGTTGTCATTGATACAAAAAGAATGGAAGGCTTTGGTTAACACCAACATGGCAAATCTGCTTATATTATCTGAAATGGAGACACCAATACGGCCAGAATTTGAGCCGAATCATAATCTACATACAGTTTACATGAAGCTAAGTAGCCGAATCATACTCCCTCAAGGTGCCCTCTTTCACAGCAAAGTAGCTGCAAGTTGTGGCTTCCAACCTATTATCACCTTATTTGATCTATATATATAGCCCTGCTTTTGTGTTTCCATCACTCGCTGATGGGTTTTGCTCTAGACCACAGCTTCAACAAAATTTGCCTATGTGAATAGTATCATTGAACGTGTTCATCACAGAGGGGCATCGATCCCTTATGACGGTGTTAAGTAATAAGTACAGGTGTGAAGCAGAGTAAGAAGGCAAACCCTAATATCATCGTCAGAGCAATTGTTGCTGATCCTGACAGGCATGATGGCTTCAAAGATGTCCGCAAGAAGTACAACTACACAGAGCAAATGCTGGTCTGGTTGCAGCACTGATTTCCCTGGCTGACAGTGCCACTGCAGGCAAAAGTAGTTGAGTTGATAACAACACAATCTTCTCAGCAATTTCCCCCATGCGAGCAGAGCAGAGGCCACAGACAGAAAGGAGGCAACATAAGCTCCGAACCTGTCAAAATTGCATGCATGATGAAATTGACGATCAGCATCAAACAAATAATCCGCCAATCATAGACTGGAACTTGTGTGCAATTTCTTAAACTAATTCTGGGATCCTTGTTATTCACATGCAAAGCTCATCTGCGAAGGTTCTTCCTTCCTGTTGAAATGCTAAGCCTTTCAACTCAAATAGTGTACAGGAGTGACTTTCTCGTCGTAGTGAAGGATTTCGGTATCCTTCATACATACAGCTCGCTTCATCTTATTTCACTCATCTCTGTCTTCAACCCTAATACAGCACACGACTAATGGCACTCCCCATGCCAGTTCACTGTAGCCATCGTCCATGGTAGTTGAGCTCTGATATGCACGACGATAGAGCCTCCCGTACCATCTTGTTGTTGCCCTCAACATACAGTACGTCTTCAAACAGACTCTTTGCCTGCTCCAGCAGCCTTATCTTCTCCTTGTTGTTCCGAGAGCGCAACTGGGATCGCTGCTGCAGAGCGCTGCCCCATCTGTAGAGAGCTGCAACGCCACATCACTTACACGTGAGCATCATACACAGCCACATCCAAACAACTAGAGATAGGAAATGAAGTATCCAAGTTCAAACTTGTAGGAAAATTCAGGCTAAAAAGCAGAGCGGTGTCGAACCTTCTGGAGCATAAGTGTTGCTTTTGGATAACATGGCATCAAACTTGTCGATTGCAGCCAAATACACCCGATCAGCATCAACTGCTGCTTCCTGCATCAGTTTTTTTTTATAATAAGTCAAATGCACAAATAACCAAAAAAAACTAAATAGTTAGCGGACTGATGCCTAGTATTCTGAGTTTCTAGACTGTGTGCACTGTATTAAATGATTGCAACAGAACAAAAATAGATGTTTATCATTCTCATTTTACCAATATCACAGGATAACTATGCAGCAGTAATTATTACCCACCAACACAAAAGTGGTATACACTATGTAAATTATTAGCTAGATGGTAAATACGACATCAACTTGTTATGTGAGCATGTGCATACTGTATAATAATGTCGGTGCTCATACCGGTCCGATGTCAGCAAGCAGTTGACCACGAAAGATAAGCGCGAGTCCCCAATTGTACAGCGCCTTGACGTCGCCCGAATCAATTGACACAGCCGTCCTATAGCTTCTGCCTGCCTCAACAAGGAGACTCTCACACTCCTCACAAACGCCCACCAGCGCAGACGAAATGTTCTCTCTGTTAAGGATCCTTCTATCAAGCTTCCTGGACCGTGAGACACGCTCTCCTCCGTTAATATAAGCCCCGCTGTTGGCCAGCAGCGTCCTCAGCTCTCGGCTAATCTTGAGCTTGAGCTCCCCATGGAGGAGGTAGGTGTTCCCTAGCTGACCGACCGCTACCAGGCTTGTCGGCCTCAAAGCCACGGCGGTGGACAGAAGCCTTGCTGACCTATAGAGCAACGCGTCCGCGGCCTCTTCGTCGTCCCTGGCCATCATGCATTCCCTCGCCTTCCTCAAGATCTCAGCAGCCTCCTTAACGTTGCGGCCAAACTCTTCAGCATCTGAACCCACGCCGGCACCACCATCATCATCATTTGTAAGTGGTTGTTCCTCGACACTGGCGGCGGCACTGCCCACGAATTCATCAGCCGGCATGCCCCGTGCTCCACTCACTCGGCTCTCACCGCCGTCGCGGCGCTCAATCTGCAGCCTGTACGACCTGTCCCGGATCTCGAGCGTCCTCTCCAGCAAAGAGGACTCGGTAGATTCAGCGGCGAACCTGCCGCCTTCTTCATAGCGATTGTCGCTCCTCACCCTGCCGCCTTCTTGAAATGGACCATCATTTGGCACCCTGCCGCCGCGGCCATACCTGTGCTTGGACACCAGCCTCTCCAGCCGGTCGTCGTCTTCCTGCCCGCTCTCAGAACTGAACCCTGCATCCTCAAACCCACTGGCAGCATCCTTGCCATCAAACGGCAGCATGTCGAGCGGCCGGGCGCTACCGACGGCCGCTGAATCAGCTGGCTTGTTTTCCCTATCCCCCTGCTGAGCTACAGCAGAGCCTGAATTACTCTTGGCATCGGCCGTAGAAGCATCAGGGGCGACGGCCTTGGCGGGTTTCTTCCGCGGCGAGGCGAAGCTGAGCTCCCGCAGGGCAGCCTTGGCCCAGCCGCCGATGTAGCCGGCGACCTCCCTGGCCACGTCGTGCAGCGCCCCGTCGTCCGGAGCGGCGCCGCCGGCGTTGGTGCTGCCCTGGCCCTGGCCCTGGCCGGCGGCCACGGCTGCCGCGCACTCCAGGAGCGCATCGCGGGCGCGGTCGAGGGGCTCGATGTTGTCGTGGTCACCATCGGCGGGTGCCGAGGCCAGGAGGCGGCCCTTGAGGGAGAGGAGGCGGGCGTCGAGATCCGCGAGGAGGGCGGGGAGGCGGTGGCTGGAGGAGGCGCCGGGGGCCGGGGCGAGGTGCCTGGCGGTGGCGAACCCGGCGGCGAAGACGGCGGCGAGGAGCGGGGCGGGCGGGAGGCGGGAGAGGGAGAGCGCGGCGACCGGGAGGAGGAGGAGGAGCGGGGCGGCGGCGAGGGACTGCTGCGTGATGCGGAGGAAGGGGAGGCCCAGCGGGTCGTCGGCGGCCGGGAGTTCGGCCCAGCCGTTGTAGGCCGCGGCGGAGGAGGAGGAGCAGCAGCGGGTGGATGTGGAGGGTCGATGCGGGCGGGACCGGACGGGGACGAGGAGGTGCGGGTGGCCGAGGCGGAGGCGGAGGCGGAGGCGGGATGGTCTCGGCGGCGGCGAGAGCAGGAGGCGGAAGAGGGGCTGCGAGGATGCCGCCATTATCCCACCACCGCTGCCTCCTCCGCCTGTCTACCTTTTTTTCCTCGGTGTGAGAAATATCCCACCATTCCGATCAAATCTACTCCTATTATAAAAGCTCACCACAAGTACAAAACATCTCAAATATAATAAAAATTACATCAATATTGCAAGACCGCCGTACAATCATAACGCGCCCATGTCACCGCTCCTTTACCCAAGTCGGCCTGACTTTATCGACGACAGCCAGGAAGTCTTCTTCGTTGAACCCTTACTTGGATCTTAAACATCTGGCACCAAATCTCATCACATCACATGACGAGAAACCATAGCCTCACCGTCCCAAAGACATGGCAATCTACATTGGAGCTCCGTCGACGACGTCTACCTAGACAAACTCGGAGAAGGACGTCGCCATCCGTTCGGACTAAAAACTCTAAACAAAACTACTAGCCGGAGCAAAGGCACCAGGATTCCCCTTCCTGCCATTAACCACAGAAGCGGAGGAGAGACGAATCCACGAGCTCACCGCTAAAGTCTGGAGGAGAGTTTACTCTAGCCGCCTAGGATAGTTATGGAAAACGAGAGAAAGTCTATCTGAGTCCATAATTAGAAGCCAATTCTTGGATTCACCCCTTTATAGAACAGTAAAATCTCTACTACTCCATCCATTGGAGTACTTAAAAATCTATTATAGAAAATAGTAAAATTAAAAAAATATTTGAAAATATAGAAAAACTGTAAAAAAAATTGCAACATTCAAAATCGAAGCTACAATCCGTAAAAACAATGTTTAATGAATAATATGGTCCCAAATTTATTTTGTTCACTAAGAGTACCACGGGTGTCATTACTTCACAAAACTTCACCAAGTTTGATACTCCCTCCGTATTTAAATATAAGTCTTTCTAGAGATTCCATCAAGAACTGTATATGAAGCAAAATGAATGAATTACAGTCTAAGGCGCGTCTATATACATCCATATGTACCCTTAATTGAAATCTCTAAAAAGACTTGCATTTAGCAACAGAGAGAGTACTTCAAAACTACAGAATTTGCTAATTTTGTCTTTTGTTTTTTGTAGTAGTAGAGATTTTAAGAATTTGATCATCAAGACCGTTTAGGGGAATTTGTTAATTTTGTCGTGGTATAGTTTTTTAAGTTTGATCTTCAGCTGGAGGTTGAAGAGTGCACAACCATACGAGGTAGATCCAACTACCCAAAAAAATGGACTTTACACCAAAAAGATAATTTGGTGGCTATATGGATTTTAGGTGACTTACATAAAAAGAAATCAATTCATGTGAAACTGTTGCATTTCCATCAGTGCAAATTTAAACAGGGAAATTTCATCACAAAAATGATAATTGAAGTGGTTAAAGGATGTTGCACAATAATTTTCACACACAAAGAGGATGCGACAATAAGAGCATTCAACCTACAGCAATGCCAACAAAATCATCACAGTATCCAACTTAAATTCCATACAACATCAATCACAGGTCTTTCCAAAAAAATCCAACACTTGATGATAAATATACAAACACATACAGCAGCAGCACAGCCTTACCTTATTCTTACCAGTCCCCTCTTTCTCTCTACAAAATGCAATGACAATATTAACGAATAAAGTTTGTTGGTCCCATAAGTAACAACCCTCCTGCTCATAATAACAAACTCAAATTAATAATACTACAATGCGTGTATCTCCGCCATGATTCCCCGTGGTGAACTCAGACGATTTCACCACCTCGCATGCTATGTGGCCTTCACGCTCCTTCCCCATCCGTCTCTCCTGGAACAACTCTACTGACACCCAAATATAACCCTACTGCGAAGGATTAGCGGCTGATCAAAGCCATCCTCATTCAGGCAGCGGCGATGGGCTCAGCTGGTGGCGCCGGAGCTGCTGCTGCGGGGGCAGCAGCGGCGGCGGGTGGGGCGTTCTCCTTCTCAGGGACAGTGCCATTGGCAGGGGCATCCTTGGCAGCAGGTGTCGCTGCCGCCTTAGCTCCGTCCTTTCCAGCGGCGGCCTTAGCTCCGTCCTTCCCGGCGGGTGCCGCGGCGGGTGGTGGAGGTGGCTTCATGTGTGGCGGTGGTGTGTGCTTCAGCTTCGACAGGATCTGGCGCATCCGTGCCATGTCTGTGGCCTTCCCAGGCTTGGGGCCCTGGACCACGATGATCCCGGGCTTCTTGTCCTTGTCCTTCTTGCCCGTCCTCTTCTCGATGTGTGCAATCTCCTGTGGGATGAGCTCGGATATCGCTTTCCAGTACTGCTTGTCTGCTCCCTTGTGGAACTTCTCCTGGTTGGAGAGGAAAAGCTGGCAGCAACACAGGGAGAGAACAAAAAGAGATGTCAGGTAACCATATCTTGTTTAAAAAAGAGCCACAGGAGAATACACAGGGTCATGATGTTGAGAAATAATGTACCTTCTCCCTTTCCCGGTTGTGATCCTTGCTTGTCTCAAGGTTCAGCTTGCGTTTCTCAACGAAACCCTTCTTGAACTCTTCAGCTTCAAGGATGATTTGGCTCCTCAGCTCCTTCTCGTGCTTCTCCTTTTCCTCCAGAAGGAGTGCATTTTGACTGTTCAGAGCTGGTGTTAGCATTTACTTTGCACAACACATATGAAATCAAGCAGAAAACATAGCAGTATTTATTCTTTAGCAGATATGGCCTCTGTTCAAGATATTTAATGCAACACTAGTGTTGTAGTTGATGATATAGAACAGGGTCTACAGCAGTTTATTTTAAGATATTCTCTGGCCCGGAAGTCAGATCTGGAGTCATTTGTTATATCTTTATCTGAAAGTTTATTTCATAGTGTCTACTGCAAACTGCACACTTTGGTGCAGGGGTTTAAATAGACAAATAGTGCACTGGAGGAAACATAAAGAAACGCCAATAGAAGCAAACACTTCCTATAGGGGAAATAACATCAACATAATCAAGAACACTCCTTTAGTTTTTGGAAAGCTCACTTTTTGGACACAGCTGGAAGAGGAGGTCATGTGTAGATTTGTCTCGGAAAATAGCCCAGTTTGAAAAACCAAAAAAATTTACTTGAATCATACAAACATACAGACTTATGTGCTTGAATATGAACCTGTATGTATTTGCCACTATGATGTAGAAATAAGAACAAGGGAAGTCAATTTCATTTTCAATTCCCTATAGATAAAAAACTAAAGAAGCAGCTACACGCAGAAAGTCCTAGAGATTCAAACTTGCAGTTTCATCATGCAAATCCAATTGGACCTTCTTGATTTGATATCTTCAACTACAAAATCCCAGGTTTCAATAAAATTGTGCACCTAATGTACCACAAGATCAGCTAGCCTGAGAAAGTGTTCCAGCAAGATAAATCATTTTTATCATATTAACAGGTCATGATGAAAAAAGTTGTGGCAGTCAGACATATATAATCCTACTGCAAAAACACAACTTCCGTGACCAATTTGTACGGCAATCGCTCCTATGCAGTTAAATTTCTACTGCAAAAGCTGCATATACAGTAGATCATGGCAAAATTCTAAGCGATCATTTGCTTTTATTCACCTAAAATCCTAGTGTGCTGAAGCTGCTAAGGTACTGGGTCACACTATCATACAGCACAAGCACTGAATTCCAAGCAATCATTTGCTCTTATAGAGCTAAAATCCCAGTGTGCTACTGAAGCTGTGAAGACCGTGATCACATCAACATATGGCAATTTCATTTCCCTATTGGCGAAACCTAATGCTAAAGTAACACCCAGAGAGTCCCAGGCAGTAAAAATTGGGATTTGATCATGTGATTCCGACTGCTTTGTTGATCTGAGACCACCCAGTACTAAATCCCCGATTTAAAGTACCTATTTAGTGTGTGTCAAGCTTAGGTAACCGTGACAAGTTGCAGCAAGCTGAGCCATTTTTAGCTCATTGACATCAAGTCATGGTGTGAAGTCTTGCATCACTTCCAAGCAACTAAGCACGGGTGCGGTGACCAATTTGCACGTCAATTGCTCTAATTCAGCTAAAATCCTAGTCTAGTGAAGCTGGAGGCATTGGATCACACCATCATATCGGCACATGCACCGAATTTCGAGCAGGTGCTCGCATGAGAGACCGAATCTGCACCACAGCGATGGAATCTCGCGCGTACTGCAGCTCTGCGCCCCAGATAATGGCAAGCGGCAGGCCAGATCGCCACCCATCTAAGCAGATCTACGCCCCGAAGCAACCCAGCCCGCCACGATGGCGCGGCTAGATCTAGCAGGACCAACCACCGAGCCGGGCCAGATCGATCAGATCTGAGCAGCGGTAGGGGCGAGGAAGCGAACCAAACGTACCGGCGCCACTCGCGGAGGAGGAAGCCCTCGTCGGCCCCCATCTGGGCGGGGTCGGGGAGAACGGGGCCGGAGTCGGTGAAGAGGCCGTCATCCTCCGCCTCGTGGTGCATGCCGTTGCCGTTGGAGTCGGGCATGCCGAAGGGGTGCGCGGCGGCGGAGTCGTGGCGGAAGGCGTAGGGGTCGGGGGAGGCCGGGAAGTCGTCCCCGGAGACGTGGACGTCGGCCGCGGCGGGGGTGGGGG